GTCTGTCTCTTTTCACTCAACATATTTTCAGATTCATGGATTCAATCAGTTGATGTTTTAAACTACTGTTCTAACCGATTCCTTGTAAACTTCTTTCTCTTCCGTCCTTTAAAGATTGAAGCTATGATTATTCCAAGATCCACATGTTGTTTTTCTTTTTTTCCACTCAAAGTTTCACAGTGAATATCAGTATGTTGTGTTTCCCTGAAGCTCAGTTCACAACCAGCTCCTCTGCACTCTCAACAAGTCTGATCTCATTAAAATGAATACAAATGTTTGATTTCTCTTTCTTAATGTGATTTTCCCATCATGTCTGAAAATGAAATGGCTAGTCATGGACAGATGGTTATACCCTCATGCAATAAAGAGGATGGATGTTGTGTCATGTCCTGAGTTCGAAAATGTTGAGCAATGGAACAAACCAACAGAGGCCCAGAAGAGTTCAGTCAAACAATGATTTATTGAGTACACGCGTGGGAAGATGTATACTGCAACACCAGCATCGATCTTTTCCAAACAGCTCAATTCAGAATGGTTTCATTCATCAGGGTTACGCCCCTTCATGCGTCACAAATGAACATAATATTCATCAGTTACAGTAAATGGTCAATTTTAAACCCCTAAAATTATACAAAGAAGTTCCTTTTTCTATCACACCTTCCATACAAGGCAAGAAGTTGCAAGCCTAGATGGTCCCTGAGGGCTTGTCCTTTTCTTGACTTGTCGTCTGTCACCTGTTACTAGGCAAGCTCAAATGCAGTTAGAAGCAAAATGTATCTCAGGCCTTTGGCCTGGAATCAATACTGTCATGTGTGTTTGTAAGCGTGCATGCTATTTATCCTTCTATTGCTCCAAGTCCCCCACAATATATCGATTGAGACATCGCGCTCATCGAAGCTTATAACCTTAAATGGACTGAACATCAACTCTCTATAAGCACAATCATGCAATGTATATATGCGATGATTATAGCTGCACCTGTAATGAAAAGGTTAATATGGTGACAAACATCTCAATGCAGTATCAATGCTGCAGGTTATATTATTAATGCAATGTTAATATCATCTTTCATCTTTAGTAGGCTTGATTACTGTAACAGCATCTTTACAGGTCTACCTAAAAAATCAGTCAGACAACTACAGCTCATTCAGAACTCTGCTGCTCGAGTCCTCACTAAGACCAAAAAAGTGGACCACATCAGTCCAGCTCTGAGGTCTTTACACTG